TGAAAAGTAAAAGAAAAATTTATTCATTGCTATACAGTGCCTCCTCTCAAGTCCACTCCATTATGCAGCCTTCGTTCTGGATTCCTGTCATGACAATAATACCTAATCAGATATCCCTTTTACACAGTTCTTCACCTCATCTGCTTCAATGCAGTATACATTATTTATCCCATCTTTCTCAATCTCCTCCCAACCCTGGTGTCAGTCCTGTTTTACAACAGTGGCACTATGCAACATTTATCCTTTTGTGACTGAGATATTTCACTAAGCATAATGTCTTTCAAGGTTACCCATTTTGAATAATACTTCATGACTTCCTCGTTTTTCAATGCAGCATATTATTTCATTGTGTGAATATACCAGAGCTTCTCTATCCATTCGTTTGTTGATGGGCACTTAGTTTGTTTCCAACCCTATGCTATTGTGAACAAAGCTGTGATAAACATGGGTGAGCATATATCTGCTTGGGTGACACTTATGGTCTCTTTGGGGTTTGTTCCCAGTAGTGGAATTGATGGGTCAAATGGTATTTCTATGTGTAACTTTTTAAGAAACACCATATTGCCTTCCATAGTGGCTGCACCATTTTATACTCCCACCAACAGTGAATAAGGGTTCCAGTTTCTCCACAACCCAGCATTTGTTGTTTGCTGTTCTGTTAAATTTTGCTATTCTTACTGGGGTCAGATGATATCTCATAATTGTTTTGTATCTCTTTGCTTTTTATACTTTTATTTCTTTGTCTGGCATTTGAGCCTTTCTTTTTAAATTTGCATAGACACTGCCTTGGATATGCTCACTAAGTTGAGTCAAGAAATCTAAAGGACAACCACCTGGCCAACTGACTGGAAGAGATCTAAATTTATTCCCATTCCAAAGAAAGGTGACCCAACAGAGCCCTGAAATTATCAAACAATGTCATTAATATCACATGCAAGCAAGATTCTGCTGAAAATTATCCAAAAATGACTGGAGAATCATGTCAGCAGAGAACTGCCAGATATGCAGACTGGTTTAGAAGAAGCCATGGCACTAGAGATATTATAGCTAATGTTAGATGGATCTTGGCTGAAAGCAGAGAATACCCGAGGAATGTCTGTCTGAGTTTCATTCACCATGCAAAGGCATTTGACTGTGTGGATCACAACAAACTGTGGCTGACACTGAGAAGAATGGGAATCCCAGAGCACTGGATTGTACATATATGAAACCTATACTTGAACCAGGAGGCAGTCATCAGAACAGAACAAGGAGACATTGCATGGTTCAAAATCGGGAAAGGTGTATGCCAGGGATGTAGTCTGTCTCCAAATTTTTTCAATCTATATGTGGAACAGATTATCTAGGAAGCTGGACTCTATAAGGAGGACTGTGGCATCAGGATTGGAGGAAGATTCATCAACAACCTGTGTTATGCAGATGACACAACCCTGCTTGCTAAAACTGAGGAGGACCTGAAGCACTTGCTGCAGAAGGTCAAAAACTATAGTCTTCAATATGGATTGAAACTCAACACCAAGAAAACAAAGATTCTCACCACTGGGCCAATTGGCAGCATCATTATCATGGATGGTGAAAAGATTGAGATTGTTAATAGTTTTAGTTTACTTGGCTCTATAATCAACACTCTTGGTACCAGCAGCCAGAAATCAAGAGAAGAATTGCATTGTAAAAGTGGGCTGTCAAGGACCTCTCTATAGTACTGAAAAGCAATGACATCAGTCTGCACCTGATCCAGGCCATAGTCTTCGCTATTGCTTGCTATGCATCAGAAAGCTGGACAGTGACTAGAGATGATAGAAAGAGAATTGATGTCTTTGAGCTGTGGTGCTGAAGAAAAGTGTTGAATATATAATGGGCCTCCAGGGGAACAAATAGGTTCATCCACGAGAAGGTGAAACCAGGCTGCTCATTGGAAGTAAAAATTCTGAAGCTTCATCTGACATACTTTGGACAAGTTACAAGGAGGGACCGGTCCTTGGAGAGGGACATCATGCTTCGGAAGGTAGAGGGACGGCACAAAAGAAGAAGACCCTCGATGAGATGGATTGATTCAGTCACTGGGTCAATGGGGGTAGGTTTGTCAGAGACAATATGATTGGAACAGTGTAGAGCAGGGTTTAGGGCTATTGTTCATAGATCCCTATAAGTTGCAGGTGATTTGACAGCACATCACAACAACAGCAACAACATATGAAAATTATCTTTTAAAACTCAGCTCACCTATTAGCACATCTAGAAGAACATATTCTTGTCATATATCTCTCTGGACTTATATCCTTTCAGTCTTGTTTTGCCCACAAACTGCTCCATTTAGTGAATAGAGGCCATACTATAATTCCCATTAAGAAAGTAATCCTCACTTATCAGGATGAAAAGGATGATGTAGAATGAACAGACAACCAGATATTGTGTGGTAATTAATATTATGGAACAAAATATGTATGAATGATTAATTGGGAGGAACTCTATATGCTTTGTAAACTTTCAGTCAAATCACACCTAAAACAAGAAATGTCATCCTCTTATTCAAAGTAGCAATCATCAGTTCTACTTTTAATAGCTAATGCTTTAAAAACATCGCTAAAGCTTGAAAGTAGGCATCCACTTCCAAAATGGCTTGCCTCCAGAAACTCTATGAACAGTGTTCAGGTGTTTTGTTCATAGGGTCACTATGAGTCGTCTATGACTTGACTGCACCTAACAACAATAACGACAACATAGAGAGAGCTATGTTGGCCTAGTGGACAGAAAGTTATACTACCAAGCCAAAGGTGGGTGATTTTAATCTGTGACCTTCGGGCCTGGTTCCAGTTGCTTTTTGGTGAAACATTCTTCCAGGTGGTATTGCATTGGTCTGTGCATTGCTGTACAGAGGTAACTTGTGGTTGCTGTGATGCTAAACAACTGTGAAACTGATGTGCCAAATGTGATAATGTTTACCCATGGTGGACAGTGTTTGGTAGAGCTCCTTGGTTAAAACAAGCTTGGAAGTAGGAGCGGCATCCACTTCTGAAATAGCTTGCCTCTGGACATTCTATGAACAGTGCTCAGGTAGGGTCACTATGAGTTGTCTATGACTTGACAGCACCTAATAACAACAACAAAAGTGATATGATAATGTAAAAACAAGAAAATATTTTCCTTATCAATGGGAATCTGAGAAATTAGCAAGTGATGGCAAAGGATCAGAAAGGTCTTTTTTTTCCCCCTGTTGTTAACAGAGTTGCTTGAGAGGATCTAAGAGCAGCCTCTAAGATGGCTTATTCCTCAACAGAAAGAAAATAAATATGCACACAATTGAACCAAGACACAACAGAATTACAAATGAAGACATGATTGAATTTTCTCCAATTAACTCATTTTACTTAAATACACAATTAACATCCATGGAAGCAGCAATCAAGAAACTAAAGGATTTCTTGACTTGGGAAAATTTGCTTCTAAAGTATCTCTTAAAAGTCAAAAGCCCTATAGAGCTCTTCTGTTCTGTCGTCTAGTTTTGCAATGGTCAAAATTCACTTTATAGTGATAGTTTTGTTTGTTGGGTTTTGGTAAGAAGCCTAACTTTGTAAGACATCATTTTTAAAGAAATTCAGGTACAGTGTCAATGTCTGATACTTAAATTCCTAGGGAAAAAAAAATCAAAGTTGATGTCTTGTTGTTCACCAAGTCATTATTTATCATTTTATATGTTCATTCAACAGATAATTTCTACGTGCTATATGCATTCTAAGTATTATCTATGTGTGACATGGTAAAAAAAAACACAAAGGAGTCTATGACATCATAAATGTTATTCCAGAAAGAAAGTGTAAGAGTTTATGCACACTCATCAGGAAGCAGTGACATTTGAACAGCAGCACTGTAGGATATTCTGATTCAGGGGATTATATAATGATAGTCATGAATCAAGCAAGTTTTTAATATTCTTGTATTTATTTATTGAATTTTATCATTATAGTCAATACATTATTGTACTAAAATCATGAATTTATCTAATGCTACAAAACTGGTGATGTTAATGATTCATATACTCCCAATGTTAATAGTTTTTCATTTTTAAATTTTATTTTATACTGGTTAACATACAAAGTTCATAAAGATCATATACATAATTTTTAAAGCACTCATGCCTAATTTTCTTTTCTTATTTTCAAGCATTGAATCTAGGATAACAGAAAAGTTTCCTTTTTAAATGCTTTGTAATGTATGATCCAGAATATATTGTATCTACTATTAATGGATTTGAAGTGATAAGGAACATATACACACACACACATACACACATGTGACCACACACACACAAGGGTATCAAACATACTGTGTTTGATTCTATTAGTATTCATTCAAAAGAAATTTCTCAGTTGTTTTTTTCACAGTTGTTAGGAAATCCATTACATCAGTACCCCCAGTTCCTTTATTTTTTGGTTCTGATGGATTTTCAGATTTTTGTTTAAGCAATTGCTGCTGTTTTGCTGGACTTATAATATACTTATGTACTATTTTCAAGTGGTAGTGCCTCAGGGAGACCAAAAGTTTCACACACTCATTATAAGCAGCCTTCAGTTCACTGTCACCCATTGAACTGACAAAGTCTCGGACTGAGGGGCCTTCCTCCAAGGACAGAAGAAAACGTCTGTGCGCTGGTGGCATGTATGTTCTCATCTCCTGGAGAAATTCAAAAGCAGATTCTAAAGGAACAAGAGAGTTTTTATAGTAGGGAGGCCACACAATAAAAAAGCAAAAACAAACAAAACAGTTACTGTCGACTTGTGTCATGGTGAACACAGATTAGAGCTCTGGTGGACTAGTGCTAAGACCTGTGTTGCAACCCTGAAAGCACACAGTTTGAATCCACCAGCTTCTCCACAGGAGAAGAATGGACAATCTCCTCCCATGTGATTTACTGCCTCTGAAAACCCATTGAAGGATCAGCTATGAGTTGGTTCCAACTTGACAGCATACAACAACAACAACACCTGCTTCATAGTTTTGTCAAGGCTGTGACTTTTTGGAAGTATATCACCAGGCTTTTCTTCTGAATATCTCTCCCACCCATCTCTCCCATCAAGTTAATTCCAGGTCATAGTAACCCTTCATTAGATTTCTCTCTCCATACCTATTTAATCTGTATGCTAAGAAAATTATCTGAGAAGCTGGATTTTATGAAGAGGAGTGTGGCATCAGAGTTGGAGAGAGATTCATCAACAACCTGTGTTTTGCAGATGACACAACCTTGCTTGCTGAAAGTGAGGAAGGCTTGAAGCACTCATTGCAGAAGATCAAGGAATACAGACTTTGGTATGGATTGCATCTCATTGTCAAGAATATGAAGATTCTTACCCCCAGACTGATAGGCAGCATCATGATGGATGGAAAAGAGATTGAAACTGTCAGCAACACCTTAATCTTGCTTGGATCCACAATTAACACTCTTGGTATGGTACCAGCACTCAAGAAATAAGCAGACACATTGCACTGGGAAAATCTGCAGTTAGGGACCTCTCCAATTTATTGAGGAGTAATGATGTCAGTTTTAGTACTAAGATGTGTCCAATTCAGGCCATTGTCTTTCTGATTACTTGCTATGCATCTGAGAGCTAGACAATGAAGAAGGATGACAGAACAAGAATTGATATCTTTGTTGGTGGTGTTGGAGAAGAGCACTCAACATCCCATGGATGGTCAAGAGAACAGATATGTTTTGGAGAGGGTGCAGCTGGAGCTCTCTAAAGAGACAAGAATGATGAGGCTTTCCCTCACATATTTTAGGCATGTTCTTAGGAGGGGCTGTTCCTTGAAGAAGGGAATGATACCGTGAAGGGTAGAGGGTTGGCAAAGGAGAAGAGTACTCTCGACCAGGTAGACTGACACAGTGACTGATGCAATGGGTTTTGTGTCAACAGCACCTAACAACAACAACAACCACCCTTTCAATAAACCTTTCAGTTAGCAGCACAACTCAAATCTTACTATGCCACCAGAGCTCCTTTTTCAGTACTTCCGGTTGAGTTCGAACAGTCTTTTCTCAGTGGTCCAGAACTAAATTATCTATGCCACCCACAGACCCCACTGGAGGACAAAAGAGTTCCCAGCCCAGGAGGGAAAGATAAGAACATGGTTCAAGTAAACAGGAGATCAAAGACTAAACCACAGAAGAAGAGTGTGTGTTTCCAAACATTCTATGTGCAATCTAAACTCTTATTAGCTTTGCTACTACCAAGGATGAGTAATGTAAAATATTTCTTTATTCTGAAAGTTATATTAGCTAAATTCCATCCTTTATAATAGAAGTTTTGCCTAGTATTTTCTTTAGTCTGCTGTTAGGGACCTCTCCAAAGTGCTGAGGAGCAATGGTGTCTCTTTGGAGACTAAGGTGCATCTGATACAGGCCATGGTCTTTGCAATCGCCTGTTATGCATCAGAGAGTTGGACAATGACCAAGGAGGATAGAAGGAGAATTGATGCCTTTGAGCTGTGGTGCTGGAGAAGAGTATTGAGAATACCAAGGGCTGCTAGGAAAACAGATTCATCCTGGAAAGGGTTAAACCAGGTGGCTCCTTGGAGGCAAGGATTCTGAGGCTCCGTTTAACATATTTTGGACATATTGCCAGGAGGGACGGGTCCTTGGAGAGGGACATCATGCTTGGGAGGGTGGAGGGACAGCGCAGGAGAGGAAGGCCCTCTATGAGGTGGATTGATTCAGTGACTGGGATAATTGGAATAGGAGTGTCAGAGACAGTGCGATTGGCACAGGACAGAGTGGAGTTTAGGGCTGTTGTACATAGGGTCGCTATGAGTTGCAGGTGACTCGACGGCGCATAACAACAACAACAACACCCTCCCCCATTTTAACATACTTGTTTCTTCTAGTAGCTGATACTATAGGCAAAGTATATGTGATCTGCACTTGTAAGATCATAACTTCAATTTTCGAAAGAAGTAAGATACCATTTTCTTTTTTTTTTTACCATTTTCAAATAAATGGCTACCATAGGTCTACAGTCTCTTTTTTTTTTAGGTCTACAGTCTTTTTTTATCCAACCCAGTGTTTATCTGGGTTACCTGTAGTTAAAGACTGCAATACATAAAAAGAAAAATGTTGTGTTCTTTCTAGAGTGTTTCCTTCTTCTTTTCTAAGTTCCAAGAACGAATATAATAAGTGGTGTTCTCAATTTTTTTTTTATAAAATGTACTCCATCTTTAAACTTAGACAAAGGCATTGCACTTGGGTCCTTGGAGTGGCTGGACTATGGACAGTGAGCAGGACCAAGTCATCTGCTTGTTACCGAGGTCTCTACTTCTCCCACTTTATCTCACTTATAATGGATTTCTCTTTCTGAATCTATGCTAACATTATTAGCACATGTGATCTTGGCTGCAGTGCAATCAGTTATGCCTTAACCATATAGTTATATGTTCAAATGTTAAGATCAACACTTTGATGAACTTGGGTTTGATTTCAGGTTCTGCCAGTTTTTAATGGATAGCCAGACTCTTTTGCTTCATGCTCTTCAGCTGTGAGATGGAATAATGATCATATATACATCCTGAAATGATCAGATTTACCACTATGAGATACTGATGGAAAAACTTATTTAAAACTCCAAATCTGTTTTTGTCAAGTTAGTTCAGCTCATAGAGACCCTCATAGGATAGTGTAGAACTTCCTCACAGTTATCTCAGGCTGAAATCCTTTCTCTCTCTTCCCTTTCCCAAGGGGTGGGTGATGGCTTCACACTGCCCAGATTTGGTCTGCAGCCCAACAAATTAACCAACTTCGTACAATAGCCCTTTACTGAAGAGATAAAAACCTCAAACTCATTGTCCTTAAGTTGGAACCAGCTTGTAACTGACTCTACAGTGAGTTTTAGAGACTGTAAACTGTATTGGAGAAGATGGCCCATCTTTCTCCTGTTAAGTTGTTGGTGGATAGAAACTTTTGGAGAAGTGCCGTCTTGGGTTAGAAATGCAACTCTCTTATAGACTATGGAATCATAGCTCCCACTGATGGGACTGGCATTTCTTATCTATGAAAATGGTGCCATATTTAATATAAAAGAAGACCATTGTTATAACCCACTCACCTCCACCAGCACTGTGCTGGATGCCCAGCAGGACATCAAAGCACTGAAAGATGCTGCTTTGGGCTGCACTCCCCCCTGCAAACTGTTTGGGATTGTCCCAGACTCCTTCATACAGCAGACCTTCTGACAGCTTGGGGTTGCCTTTCCAACTAGAGCAGGAAGGAAAAAGTAGTTGGTTTTTGGATTGTCAGTGTTCAGATAGAAAAACCTTATTCAGAAGATAGATGGAAAATGACAGGACTTAGATTGACCTCATAATTCTCAAACAGTCTCTCTATTAATTTCATGAATAAAGATAAATCACAGAAGTAGAAATACCAGGCCAAAAGAATTGCAATTAAGTCAATTCATCTCAGAATGAACTCGTGTGTCAGGTTAGAATTACTCTGTATATTTTTCATGGAAGCTTCTCTCTAAAAGGTTTTTCAAGAGAACTCTGCTCAAAGTGTCAACCTTTAATTATTAGATCAGTTACTAAATAATAACACAATTGCAGATATAGTGGAATGAGAATTTAAAGAATTGTATCTAAACTTAGAATCAACACAAATAATTCCATTCTCTTTAAAATTATTAGTTTTCCCATCTCCATCCAGGGCATCCTCAGACAAATAATAAAAGCCTCTTTCAAGATACATATTTTAAAATGAGAATGAAAGTCATCGTCTAAATTTGAAACCTATACAAAATATCACTAGGGATTTGGTACTTTTTTTGATGGTTTAAGAGAAAACAGAGTTAGGCATAAGACTACATACCCTGACAGGTAAATACGAAGAACATTGAAAAATAAATTTGGGTCCACATGTTCTGTGAAAAGATGGAACATATATAATTAGGTGGCATCAGAAATACAAAGAGAACATAAGGTGTTGTAAATAGTGGGTATTGTATTTCCACACAGGCTGCAGGAAAAGTATTGGGCCAATTTGTATAGACCAATGTTCCAGTGGGCAAGGTACATTTACCTGCTCCCTCCTAGGGAAGCTCTCTATTCATCACAAGCCTCCACAGAACAGGCTCTCTCCAGGGCTGGTTCTTGGGCTGGATCCCAGGAGCACAGGCTAGCTCATTATCAGGAAACCCAACAGTTTAAATTTGTAATGTTTTCTTAGAATGACTTTATGTGTTTATTGACATGAAGGCTAAACAAGTTACATACAGAATAAAGCGCGCGCACACACGCGCACACAAGCAACTCTGAATTATATCACTAACACTTCTTAAAGCCTGCTAGCATCTTGTTTTGGAAAACTGAAGGTTTTCAAAGCGCTAATCCACATCAACTCAAAGTCCAATAATAAACAGCTGCGTATTAGTTTAAGTTTGTCCGGTTGAAAAATATTCTTTTGCAAATCTCTGTTGATGTTGTTTTTTTATGTCATTTTTTTTCAGTTCATTTTGCAATGAGTTTTGAGCTCAGTGACCTTTCTATACAGCTTCGTAGCACGTAACTGTGCAGAATTAACAGTGATCAGCTGTTGAGGATTCGCTCAGTTTTCCAGAACTTAAAATGGTCTATTTATTTTGCAAGTTTCCCATTTAACGACTATGTAATCGAATACCATTTACTTATATCCCTGGATTTAGATTCTTTTATGTGTAAAATGAAAATAATAAACTCTACATGAAAAATATACTGATTGAGATAAAATGTATAAACTGCAAACGTACTGCACTAGTGTTGTATTGACTTACTTTCCACAACAATCCTGCACTTCAGTAAATCGAAATATCTGCTGCCAGCCTAGAATGTTATACTCCTAGAATACTTACTGTGCATCTGATCAAACACTTCAAGGGCATTTTGGAGACAATAAGTTATCTTATTCAAGGATTCTCTTAAAGTATCCTGGTCCTGATTTTCTATTGCATTAAATATAATGGGAATTTCCTTAAAAAGAAAAGACAAGACAAAATGGTAAACATTCCTACAGCTAAATATTGTTATAAAATAAATTACTTATCAGCTTTTATTTTTAAAGTAAACATACAATTTTCCATTTCTTTCTCTGGTCAATTGGTTAATGTCCTCATATTCATAGAATTTTTGGCATTTCAAGGTTAATTTGTGAATTTAAAAAATATTTTTATTTCTGGTCATCACAACTATTGATTTATTTCTTTATGCTTTACCATTCCAATACCAAATTATTTCTTATTGAAGTTTCAAATTTTGTTTGTTCTCTCTCTATAGATACTCATATATGGAGCTACTGTTCATTGACATCAAGTTGGAACTTATTCACATATATATGAATTTATATTATATTGTAATTGTATATAAATATATCTTTTATATTATGCATATAATAATAGATATAATGTGTGTGTGTGTATATACATGTATTTTTTTTTAAACAGGAGTGGCATCCACTTCCTAAATAATATATCTTCAGAAACCATGAACTTTGATAAATGTGGATAGCTGTAGAGGGGGCTTCAGACCTTTTATTCATAGTGTTGCTATGAGTTGTGTTCGACTTGAAGGCAATCAACAACAACAGCAACATACTATATTTAGGAGATATACAAAATAGAGCAAATTAAGTATTTCTATCATATGATCTCCAGCCCTAAAAATGATCTAGTAGATGAAATAAAAATAAATATAATTCATAATATATTTCAGTTACTAAATGTTTCAGAGAGACAATATTAAAAGTTCAAATTCACCCAGTGGTACCATGGGATAAATGCTCTTTTGGATGGACATACTTTGATTGCAGAAGCAGCTTCCATTTCCACCAGCAGAGATACTAGGAAGAATCCTTTGCCAGTGTCCCCACCAGGAAATGAGAACAAAATGTCCATGTTCCTAAGAAGTTGGGTAAAAAAAAGGCAATATATTTATAAAAAGTAATTCTATATATTTGCAAAGTACTATTAGTTGTCAAACATTTTTATTTACCTTGTTTTATTTTAAAAATAATTTTTGAGATCTGTGTAACTGGTTTTGCTTTCTCCATTATGTAGTCAGGAACATGAAGACTCAATTGTGTTAGGTTAAACTAGGATTTCAAATTTCATGATTATGGCTCCAAAGACTAGTTCTGTTTCCATTTCCCCACTATTCCATTTTTTATATGCATATATCCACACTGTTGTTGTTGTTGTTACCATCAAGTCAGAGCTGACCCGGTAGCAAGTTTTCAGAGGTAGTAAATTGCACAGGAGATTGTCCATCCTTCTCCTCTGGAGCAGTTGGTGGAATACAACCACATACCTTTGTGTCAGCAGTGAATTTCCTTACCATTAAGTCACCAGAGCTACTTACATTTACCATACATTATAATACTAAATATGTATAGATGAGGAGGACTGGACACCGTTACTGAGAGTTCAGCCTGCACACGGTGGCTTTCTGGTTTAATAACTGGAGAGAAACCTTTGTACTCTGTCCCGCATGTGGGCAGGGACATTGGGGTCTTGCATGCAAGCACAAGCTGGTATCTCTTCCTGTTTAGAAAACATCTTGGTCATCTCGGTCCCCTCTTTTCATTTGAAAAGCAACATCTATCATAAGGAACAGATAGTGTACCCTCTCACTTGCTTGATTGTTTCTGTATCCGCCTTTTATGATTCTATGAAAAATGAAAAATGATATCGTAGCAAATATCCCTATAACAATTAAAGCAATGCAGACCCTCGGGGCTGCAGTCTTGTATTGTCTTCTCTGTGTGTTTGTCTCTTTAGGTCTCATTTCTTCCAAGCATTTTATAAAGGTTTGTAACATATAGGAATATATATATACATATATAATCCTCTACTATAATTAAGTAAACAAATTTATATCCATATTTTAATCTGAGTGTAAATTTCCCAGAGTCTTTATGTTATTTATAATGAAATTTACTTTTAAATTCAGATAACTTGTTAGACCATATTTTCCTGTTCTAATGATGATTTACTGTTAATGCAAATATTACTTCAGTGTATATGCATATGAGTTTTATGGTTGTTGTATTGATAGCATTTGAAACCAGACAACCCAATGCATTATTTGCTGCAGCAAACTTTTTCAACTGTCTCCACTTTATTTTTCTAATCTGTAAAATAGAACTGAAGATGCATATACCAGTTTTAAATCCTTCCAAAACTTCCTATTTAAGGTATTGTTTAAAATCTTCACCATAAGCAAAAGAAGTCCTATACAATCTTTTTTTTCCCTCCAAGCCTATTTTGTTTCATTATTAACTTTGTATCAGTTTTACCAGCCATCCTTTAGTTCTGATAGTGGACCAAAGTTTATATTACTTCATCTCACATACTTTGAGCACAGGGCCAAGAGAGACTGGTCCTTGGAGAACGACATCATGCTCTGAAGGGTGGAGGGACAGTACAGGAGAGGAAGATCCTGAATGAGATGGATTGATACAGTAACTGGGGCAATGGGGTTGATATGTCAGAATTAGTGAAACTGGTTCAGGACAGGGCAGCCTTCAGAGCTGTTGTTCATAGGGTCACCATGGATTGCAGGTGACTTGAAGGCACATAACAACAACAATATCAACATCAAGAATGTTCTCTACAACGTTTCTTCATCTAGTCAATTCACAAGGAGCCCTCGTAGTTAAGTGTTTAGCTGCAAGCCTGAAAGGCTCAAATTCACCCAGTGGTACCACGTGATGAAGACTTGATGATCTGCCTCTGTAAAAGTGGTTGTTGTTGTTGTTGTTGATTGCCATCGAGTTGTGCACGGCTCCTAGTGACTATATGAACAAAACACCTGAGACCTTTCTTTTTTTTTTCTCTGAGGCCTTTCTGTAACTATTATTTCTCCAAATTCATGGAGTTTCCAGAGGCATGAGGTTTAGAAGTGGATGCCATTCCTGCTTCCAAATCTGTCTTAAAACTGGGATCTCCGCAAACACTGCCCACCATGGACAGCCATGACGGCATTTGAGACCCCAGTTGTTCAAGGTCCAATGTCACAGCGAACCCAGATTACCTCAGTGCAGGAAATTGACTGAAGAGTGCTGTATGATTTAGAAGAATGTTTCTCCAAAATATGGTAACAAGGGATTAAAATACAATCCCCTGGACCCAACTTTTAAACACAAGGGCCCTCCAGGAAGCCTTGTTGACTCTAAACAAGAGTCTTAAAAAATCCAAACATTCCACAATGACCATCAACCAAAACAAGAGAGCTCATTTTACAGAGTCCAGACGCTTCACCCAAGTCTCCAAAGATTACAATCAATAAAACCATATGAGGCAGTTCTACTCTGTTACATAATGTCAAGTAGAATCACTGCAAATCAGAATTGACTCCTAAAACAACAGCAGCTAATCCCTCTACAGACCCTTCAGGGCTCAGTTTAATAACTTACTTTAAAGATTCCTCCTTTCACCCTTTTTTATTGCTTCATTAGTGCTCTCAGTACCTTCTTATCTCTTCCCTTTATCATGTGTCAGTGTACATACTTTGACATGCTACTTTCCCTTTCATTAGCTGCACAGAGACTGGCCTTTCCAGCTGTCATCAAGTCAATTCTAACTGATGGTTGTTGTAATTAATGTTGTTAGGTGTAACTGAGTCAAGTATGACTCATAGTGAACATATGAACAGCACATCTGAACCCTGTCCTTGTTTAGTGCCATTGTTATCACCCCTACCTCACGTGTTCCCGTTGATGCAGTCACTGTATCAACTCATCTTATTGAGATTCTTCTCTTTTGCTGATACTCTACCTTGCCAATCATCATGTTTTTTCCTAAGTAATAGCCTTTCCTAACAACATGTGCAAAGTATGTAAGGTGAAGCATCTCCATCCTTGCCTCCAAGGAGCACTCTGGTTCTACTTTCTTCAAAGTCTATCTGTTCTTTTGGGAGTCCATGGGATATTCAATACCCTTCTCCAATACCAAAACTCAAAGGCATAGATTATTCTTCTGTCATCCTTATTCACTGTCCAGCTCTCAGATGCAAAGCAGGTGATTAGAAAGATTGTGGCTTGAATCAGGTGCACCTTAGTCTTTAAATTGACATCATTGCTCTTTGGGACTTTAAAGAGGTCTCTGATAGCAGACTTTCCCAATGCTATAATTCTCCTGATCTCCTGAGTACTGGTTCCAAGGGTGTTGATTGTGGATCCAAGTAAGCTGAAATCATTGATAATTTCAATCTTTTCTCCAATTATTATGATGTTGCCTATTGGCCCAAAATTTTTATTCTCTTGATATTGAGATGTAATCCATATTAAAGACTATTTACTTTTTGCAGTTGAGTCAGAAACAACCTGCAGCTGACTCTCCAGAGGCTTTTCAATGTCAATAAATAATACAGGAGTAGATTACCCTTCTTTCTCCCTCAGACAAACTTGTGGAGTTGAACCACATACCTTTGGGTTGTCAGTACATTTCCTCACTAGTAAGCCACCAGAGTTCCCACTTAAAGGATTTAGTCCTTGGTTAACTCTTTTCCTCCCATATTTTAAGATAGAACTAGATTATTTTCAATAGTAAATTTTCACGTGCAGTTGTCCAGGTTTTTGCCTCTGTATAGATTTGATTCTCCTTTTGTCCTACTGTTAATGATTTGTACCACCCAGGGAGTCCAGGACAGATTTATATTTATGGTAATTCCTGCTATTTCTCCAGAAAACAGGATATAAGAGTTGGGTTAAAATGAACTGGATCATCTCTGGAGAAGTTGTTGGAAAACTAGGTAGCAAAATAACTGATTTTTTACTGTGACCGTTGTATCTAATCTCTCTTTGGCAAGAAGTATGTTTTGAAGGAGGAGAAGCCCTACTGTGTGGAAAGCTTCGAGACTCTCTTTGTGAACAACTGTGAGGACTACAAGAAGCCCAATGACTGTGACTACAAGGTCTTGTCTTACAAAAACTGGCACGGGCATGAGAACTACCTGTTTTCACTGCTCACAGTGCAAGAATTTGCTAGTAGTCAAGCCCTTTGTTGACAAGACATACCAACTTTGCTCTGTACAGGATGCTACTCCAATGAGTACTCTTCCAAGTGTCCTGGCTCTAAGAAGACCATCATGCCAGGAACTCACAAGATGGAATATGAGGGCAACAGGTAGCATGAGACCTGCTTCATCTACCATCACTGCCAACAGCCAATTGGAATCAAGAGTTTCATCCCTCAAGACAATCAGGATTTCTGTGTGCCCTGTTATGAGAAATAATATGCCATGCAGTGTGTTCAGTGCAAAAAGCCCATCACCACTGGAAGAGCAGCTCTGGCACAAGGAGTGCTTTGTGTGAACTTCCTATAAGGAGCAGTTGTCAGGGGAGCGTTTCACAACTAAAGATGAGTTTGCCAACTGCCTGGATTGCTACTGTGATTCATATGCCAAGATATGTCCTGGGTGTATCAACACAATTAGTGGAGATACAAAGTACATTTCCTTTGAACAGCAGCAGTGGCATAAGGATTACTCAACTGCAAGAAGAGTTCCCTGTCATTGGTGGGGTGAGGCTTCCTCACAGAAAGGGATGATACCATTTGCTCTGATCACAGAAAAGATAGCGAAGAAAGGAGGAAAAAGCTAACTGCTTAAAATATGCATAGATGGATGTTTTCTTTCTCAGCCAAGTGATGTTGTGTTCTGGTTTTCATCAGATTTTCCTCTTGTACTACTTCTCAGTATCATTCACATTTGTTTAAACTCTTAAAGCCTTTTTATTGCTTGAGTCCCAAGGAAGGAGAAAACCTCTATATAAGTAATAATTGAGAATATGGTTTTGAATTCTTGTAATGAATATGAAAAATCTAAATAGTTAAAACTCCTTTGAATAGTTATTATAAATGTATCTTTGTTTCACTGCATGTTTCATTTCTAAGTATAGTTAACATGTGTCACAATTTGGAAAATTTTCCAATCTATATAAGGTAATGAAGAGTTGGTATTCACATCTGTGTAACTTCCTGTCAAATAAAGATTAAAACAAGTTCACATGATTTACAATAAAGTTATTTAGTAAAAAATTTAAAAAAAGGAATTGGATGGAACAAGACCAACTAATTAACACTGTCAACTAATTCTGGCAACAGGTCAGTAAGTTGAAATGGGGACATGTATTGATTTTGTGATTATACATATTGATTACATGGGTATCCATGTGTATAATATTTATGTACATATGGATATAGCTATAATATCAAGCTGAACAGACATCAAATTCATAGCTAGAGACAAGGACCAGTGTTATTTGCTTTGTAAACATTTACTTGAATTAAGTGTTTTACTGAAATAAAAAGAGTATTTAATAAATCCCTTTGAAGAATATCAATAAATAGATATTCACTTTGAATATTATAATATTATCATTATTAATATAATTAAGAAACAAGTACTTACTCATAGATCATGGGTCTATCAGATCAATCAAGCAGCAATGGGTCATTTGGAAGAGAGAAAAAGAATAACACAGATTAAGTGGTGTTGGATTGTTGTGGTAAGATTACCATTACTGATCTAGCAAAAGTAAGACATAGGTCAACAATGTTCTAAAATGTGAATTTTAATTTTTTTCTTAAATATGAATTGCAAAGCCTTAGGAATTTATGAATGAAATATTTTTAAACTATCAAATATGCAAGGAATGTAGTCAAAACTTAGTTGTTATTTTCTCAATCAAATCCTTTCAATTGTGTATCAGAATACTCTGCAGATACAATCCTAAATGCTTGGAGCACTATAATTTACTTATCTCTATTGTAGAAGATCTCCTCACTAAATGGTCCAGAAGGTTTTAGATTCTCTAAAAGCCCAGAAATTGTTGCCTGTACCAAGAATGTATTGATTAAAAAAAACAACAAACAAATCCAAAACCAAAAACCCAAACTCAATTGTTTACTTAAAATTTATTTTTTTAAAGGAAAGAACAGAACCAAATTCACACAGTTAACATTAAATTTACATGAATTCTAGTAACAAAGGAACTAAATAATTTTTGGTGAGATAATTCAGAATTTATATAACTGGGATAGGAAATTGACTAGAAAAGTGCACAAAGAAGTTTTCTGGGATCATGTAAATATTCTATATATCGTTTAGAGTGGTAATTGTTGTTATGTACTGTCAAGTAAGAAGTGACCCATAGCTGACACTGTAGCAGGTTTCAGAGGCAATAAATCTCTCACAAGCAGCAAATGTATTTGAACCACATTCTTTGGGTTGACAGCACAGCTCCTTAACACTAAGCCACCAGAGTGGTGATTACACATGTAAAACTAATCAAACTCAAAATCTGCACTTTGCACTTTCTACTGTGTGTCAGTCTTAAACTATAGATATAAACATTAATAATTAGAGATAACTACAGTCAAAGAAATTATATTCAACAAGAGAAATGTTCTGGTCAGAAATGAAAACAAATACTGTCTCTTGATTTAAATAGAACATATACTTCCAATTCTCATTATAATAATAATTTACATACCCATCAGATTCGATTTTCTTCCAGTTTGCCAAGACACAGTCTGCATAAACCAGAATAGGAGGTAGCCCCAGGATCTCAGAGAGTCCACAATAAGGGATAGCAATATTACAAGGTAGAACCTAATTAAAAGAAATATGTGGTATTACTTTTTTGTACTTTTCCGTCTACTTTTTGGGTGCAAATGGTATCTGCTCTACATGAAGATGTTTTGGAACAGAACATGGTTTTATATGTTTTCCTTCCTCATTTTAGCTCTCAATCCCAGTAATCATTAATTGCCCATATTTTTAATCTGTGTTGATATGGACAAAAATCTTACCAGAGACAAATTTTAAAAAGTTGAGAGCAAGAGCACTCCTGAGAAGAACCCTTGAGTGCAATTGCTTCATGAATTGCCGGCATGCATTTATTCATCTAGCCATCCACCAAATAACTCTCAAGCAACCTCTTGAGGCAAGGTATTGTATAACCCCAGATAGAAAGTTGATACAATGCATACAAAGGTGAAGATCAATTGTTCAATTCCTCTAGTCATTTTCTTTAAGTTGCTCTCTATTTCCTGTAGAAATTGATCAGTTGTGTAGCAGTTTATATTTGACTCAGAACTTTTATTAGGCTTTCTGCTGAACAGATGTAGAGTTCAGGAGTAAGAACTGAGACCATGGTTGAGTTCCTTTTTTCTCCTTATCTTTGCTCCACCTCTCTCCCTTCCTTTCTTCACATTTTTTTCCTTTCTATTTCCTCAGTCTGCTGCTCATAGTTTTATGTTCTGTGTTCCAGTTGGTAGTAAAAGACTCCTGCCCCCAAGAGGGCAATGCTGTAATTGCCCAAAACTGCCTTTAACTGAGGTAAATGAATCAAGTTTAATTTAGGAGAATACTCTGAATAGGGTCCATTTTCCCTAACCACCTAAGATTTACTAGCCATGAGGTTATTTTTTATTCTTTATTTACCCAACTTCATCTGCCTATAATTTGGTTTATAATGTAAGGGAAAATGTATAATTACAGCCACCTTTGTCATTGACAATGGTGGCAAAAAAATTGTATCTAATCAGAGAGAGGTCAAGAATTTGTGGCTTGTCTGGGCAGTGGGTGGTGCACCTGCTGGTGGTAGAGCTGCTGTGACCATGTGACCTGCCCCATAAACAACTTTATGAAAACCATGAGGGTTATGACCCAAGTAGCTTTAACTTAGTTTAAGATGCCTAGTGATGACAGTTTATCCAAGAGGACAAGATGTTAGACCCATTGATACATCACTCCTATGCATGCTGTCTGTCTCAGAACTTAAACCTTTAGGTATTGTAACATTTTGGTTGGCAAAATTATTTATACATATTTCATAAACAGAAATATTTCCCTTTGTGATCTAAAGTAAAGATCAAAAGATAATACAAGTAGAAAAATAATAACTACCTTGATATGTTCTGGGAGAAAGAAAGGAAATGTTCAAACACATCCTTGTTATTGGCACTCAAAAAACTCAGATGTTAATGTCATACCTATTTTCAAGAAAAGGTGCTTTATAGTAACTTATTTCAGGCAATTTAGTTTCCCTTTCCTACAATTTCCTGACTTAAAGATTGTTTTACTTGTATCCTTTCCAGGCTAGTTCCTTAGCTCCTTCTCAGAATGATAGACTATAAACACTGAATAAATTAAAAAACACACTTTCATAATTCTAATCTCTAGTATGGTATAGTAAATTTATTCCTTTCCAATAATGCATTGTAAATTCTAGCCTCCATATGTTTTGCTTATGATTTCCTATTTCTTTTTTTTCTCTCCTTTTATATTCCTTTTATACTCTACCAATTCAAGTCTTATTTCTTCCTTAAAGTAGTCCATGATCATATCAACAACTATTTTCTACCTTTGGTTTCACTCTTACTCTTCTGTACCTCGTATCTGCTACATTTAATTAATACATCTCTTTTCTGAATAATTCTTAAATATTTAGCCACATTCTAAGTTCTAGAAGTATTTTGGGAAATGTATTATTAGGAAATGTCAGTCTTTGTGAAAAGACTTCATGCTTGGAGCAGTTGAAAGTCAGGGAAGGAGAAGCAGCTTCTTAAAAGAGATAGATTAATGCAGTGACTATAACAACGGATTTAAGAACAACAAAGGCAGTGATGATGGCACTGTACTACATATGGTCTCTAGGAGTCAGGTTGACTTGATAACACACAAACTACAATAAGAATGTACTTAGTTATATCTCTAATGCAAGACTGGAATTGGTCTTAAACATTTTATTTACTATAACTGCAGAATTTAGATGTGAAAGGTGTTCAGTAAAGTATAATGGATATAGAAATTCACTGACACTAAGGTGATTTCAACTTACAGCTACCCTCTAGGAAGGAGCAGAAATGCCCACAGAGGTTCCAAAGTTGTAAACCTTTACAGAAGCAGTCTCCCTTATCTTTCTCCTGGGAAAAAACTGATAGGTTAAAACCACTGACCTGTTGGTTAGCAACCAAATTATGCAACCCCTGAACCAGCAGGGCTCATTTGACGAATTATAAGGAAGTATAAACTGTCGACATAATTAGGTAGAAAAACTTCCTTATACTTTTCTTTAAAAAGGATGTAAAAAGAAAAATAACCTAATAAAATATCAGTTACTTTATCTATAAAGATGAAATGCCCACTAAGTGAAAAAGGTGCTTCCTGTGTTTATTATACTTATTTATTTTTTTTTTAGTTTAAAGGCTTGACATTGCAGACTATTTGATTTTCATGAGATTAGAGCTGCCAGACAAAATATAAGATGCCCAAGTAATTTGCATTATCCATAGATCTACATAAACCTTAAAAAAAATCCCTGTTTTTCTGAAATTCAAATATAACTGGGTTTCCTGTATTTGCACTTCCTAGATCTGACAATCCACCATAGAATGAGAAGAAAGGGCCTTTTGTTGCACTGCTCTCTAGAAAATGAATAAAAGTAGTTTGTGGAAGTTGAAAAGGTTTGCAGACATTATTTGAGGGCTGGTAGTATAATGAGTAATGTACTGAGTGTTAAGCAAAAGGTCAGCAGTTAGAATCTGCCAATAAATCCTCAAGATGAAGATGAGCAATCTTCTCCAGAAAAGATTTACGTTCTCAGAAACCAGTTGGAGGGTCACTATGAGTCAGAAGGTGAGTAAGGGTCATTCATTTTCCCTTCATCAATATCCAAGTTGAATTTAGAGTGAAATATCTACTAAGCATTGGTATGCATTCAAGAATGGTTGTATTCATAACTACTAATACGTAAAATAAGACCATAATTAACATACAGATGTCTGTCAAGATTTTTTAAATCTTTATATTGGTGAAAGAGTAAACAGAATTCTCTTTTTCTTTATTGACAGATGCAAGATAAAGGTTTAGTATTTAACTATTATATAGTGTGCTTACCTACCAAAAGTCATACTCTATGATATTGAATATTTACAGCAGCTAACTATTAAAACCCTCTAAGGTCTGTATCAATAGAGGACTAAAGAACTAAGCTAAAGGCAGAAAGTAAAGATAAGAAACTAAGCTATGTTTAGCTTTTTGAGGAAGTACCAAACTGCCTTCCCCAACAGTTGTAATGTTTTACAATTCCACCAACAATGTATAAAAGTTTTTTTCTCTCCACATCCTCCCCAACATTTATTACTTGCTGACCTGTTAAACTTTGCCCCAACTATTCCACTATTTGTAATATATCCTGAAAAAATGGGAACTGAGGCACAGAGATTTTTACACCAGTGTTCATAGTAGCATTATTCACCAACGTATGAATGTGAAAACAGCCCAAATGTTCAACCACAATCAAAGGGATTGTGAAATTATGGTGAATTCACACAATGGAATACTATGCAGCATCCAGGAACAATGATTTTGTAAATTATTACCTAACTTGGGAGGGACTGGAGAGCATTATGCTGAGTGAACTAACTCAGTCCCACAAGAATAAATATCATATAAAACCATTATTATAGAATGAGTATAATGATCATTGTAGAATGAGTATAAGGATCCAAGAGGAGTGGGAGAGGGTGGAAGCAGAGGGATGCGGATGTGCAGGGGGACGGAGGGATTAATCATGGGGTTGTACAATTTGATGGGGGTGGTGAGGGAAAATGAAAGAGTCTGTTCTCAAAAACAATGTATTTGAATTTTGTAAATAAACTAGTATAAAATTTTTTAAAAAGAAAATAAGCTAAAGATAGAAAGTGAAAAATTAGAGGATGTCCAAATGATGATGAAGCAACTGAAAAATACCTACATTATAATTTAAATGAAAGGAGCAAGATAAATATGTATATGCTTAGGACCAGCCATTATGTTGCAATATATACATAAAAACCTAAAATATTTTATGGCAGTTGCCATGTTAAGGAAGTGAATTATGTCCTCACTCTTTTCTGTTATCCTGATTTTGTAAAATTTAATAACATTGTTTTTAGGATTTTTCATCAAATTTAAATAGGAACATCTGTCACACAGTATAAGATATATTAGGAAATCTCCAAACCTTACGGACATCTTGCCCTTGGTCCCACACATAAGCCATAGTAATGTACCCCAGCGCCAGATGTGCAAGGCGCTGTGCTTTGTGCTCCTGGAGATCATCAATGCTGAGCTGTGGCAACTGGAAACACAAGAAGGAAATGATGAGTGATGATTGGGGCTTAAAGTCCAACTTAAAGAAGTGACAAAAGAACATTTAAGTAACAATTCATACCTTTTCAACTTCTGCACGCAACTTGCCAGAGCTAATCAGGTCTGGTATGTTCTGAGCAATGGAAATCCAGGGAGAGTACTTATCAGGCAGGACCTCCTTGAAAAAAGAGAAATATGACTTTTTTTTAAAAAAAATGGAAATTATTGTAAAGTAGAATTGGCTTCCCATCGATATTCTGCATTGTTCCCAAATCTATCTGTGCAAAGCTGCCCTCATCCCCACTCGTGTGACTAAGTGGCTGGCTGTGACTGGCTATTTGCACACACAGAATGCAACATCTCTGTTTTCGCTCTCCTTTGCTGTTCAGATATCTTCATCTATTCTTTTAGTAACTTTATCTCAAGTGTTCCCCTAAAACATTGCCCTTTATACCTTTCAAACCCCATCTCATTTTTTAGAAATCCTGAGAATTATGCCTCTTCCCATTGTGAAATAATTTACTGGTGTCTATTTTTTATACATTTTAATTCTTTGAATGGAGGGAGAAAAAGGAGATTTCTTAAATATCAGTAGGCCACTAGGTCTCATTTTTTTATATAAAAAACTTGATTTCTATTTTTCTTTTGATTCTTATCACAGCCTCCATAATTGTTCTTTATATCCATGTCACCACTAAAAGAACTCAGGTTTTGTTTATGTCGCTTGTTTTGTATAAGCAGTTATTCTTGACTTGTTTTGCATGTTGTTGAAGACCGTAGAGTTGGAACTGACCCATAGCTGACCCTTGGGCAGGTTTTCATAGGCAGTTAATTGCATGGGAGGAGACTGCCCATCTTTCTCCTGCAGAGCAGCTGGTGGCTTTCAACCATGTGCCATTCAGGCAGGATTGCAGTGCAGCTTCATGCTACTAGGCCACCAGAGCTCAGTATAAGATGTAGGTGTTATTCACATCACCAGGAGGATAAATATGTGTTTTCTAGATGTATCCTTTTACTTTTGGCACAGTAGATATAGCATTGACTCTTGCCATCATACATTTAGACTGCTCTAATGAACACAAAATATTCATTTCAGGTACATGAGGCACCCTGAGACTGCCAGCTTGACTGCCATAGTAAGCCTTGCTAGCCTTCCACCTAAGACTTTTGAACTGTGCCTGTTTTGGCTTCTGTAAAACCACTTGACTGATAAACAGGTGTGGCAGATTAATGCAGAAAAGTGCAATCGCTGACAGTATAACATGCTTATTGGGTAAGGCATTGGTGGTTGTTCTCTTTCCTCTTTTTTGGAAGACTCCAGACAACAACCCTTGACCAAGAAACAAAGGCTTCTGATCTGGAAGAGAGTGAATGTCTCATTTCTGGGAACAACAGTACATACTGGCAGATTTAACAAACTTTAGGGAAATTGAAAAAGCCATGAGGAATTGTGTCCTGTCTTTTGCTAAAGCGTGTAGAAGTAAGATATCTGCGTACATTGATTTTGTCACATTAAATCAGAATTTAGACTTGTAGTCATTGGCAGGTATCCATGCACATAGAACTTCTAAAGTTCTCATAATCAATGTTAAAGGATTTTTACTTGTTTAAACACAAATAAATTTGGTTAAATCGAAAAAAAAAAGTGACAGTGTTTCCAACTTTCAAAGCCTCCTATCTATTTAGATGTCTCATTATCTGAAGTCAAAGATTGTGCTTTTAATTCCTGTTTACATAGGATCTTTGCACAGGATGCCTACACACTGTATACATACAGATGGACTGCCCACTTTGGTTTCACTATAGGCTTATCTGCTGCCCAATAAATGCTAAAGAAATCCAAATAAAATTGCCTCCCTAGAAACTAAGTGTTTGTAATCTAATCTAAAAGAGAAACATATAACTAAAGGGTGGGCAACTCCCTGATAGGATTTGCCAATCCCTTAACAGCATTTCTCACACTTACTCCTTAGACTCCTCCACAAGCTGGTTTTGAGGTAAACCCTGGGGCGGAGCCCTCATCACTGCTGCATGCAAATAGAGACAGGAGCTCAAATATACACAGGTGAGGTTTCGAGCTTCAAAGCAATGCTCATATTACACGTAAACTTTAAAACCATTATAACTATGAAACCAGAAGACCAGTGCTGGAAATGGGTGGATCTTAATCTACCGAGGCAGATTTTTGGCAGTGAACATGGATGAAGCATATTCATTAGATATTTATCTTTCTTCTTTGACTTGAACTCTCTGTTTGTCCTCAGCTTTTCTCCTTGCCACCCAAAAACTATGTTCTGTTGTTTTCAAGAGGAACTGTATTTTATTTTGTTCTCTCTGTGTAATTTTATTTTATTTTGTGTCTCTCTGTGTAATACACGCACAACTTTGCTGATTATTGCTACTTCCTCAAATAAGAGAAACATCTTTTTTCTCTCTTACGTGACAAGTATCTTATTTTACAGCACTTTGAACAAATGTCACATTAAACCTGGGTTTCTGACTCTGAGAATTCTTTAATGGCACAATTTACAGTAGGTAAGTTAGAAATAACCCAGAGTCCCACTCAATTTGTGCTAGATGAAGAAATGTATTTTATATGTTAGAAAAATTCAGAGAATATATTTTATGTGGAAAGTATTAGTCTGCTTAACCTTTTTCTAAAGACCTCCACAAATATCAAGGCTATTTCATTAAAAAAAATCAACCTTAATATTTATTAAAGTGTTGATTGCTTCTGGATAAAAGTTGGGTTTTTTGCCAATAATGTGTATTCTTTTGAAAGCACTCAATCCTTTTCTAGCTTAAGTGTGTGTGTGTGTACGAATGGGGGGCAGGTTTGAATTTGCACATATACAGCAATCTCAGTGCTTTTAAATGAAATTAATATATACACATCTTTTTTAAACTTAACAATAATAATTTTTGAAGGGAAAAATTTTGCAAGATGTTTATAGGACTTTATTCCTAAGGACAATTAGGTTAGTTGGGGTCCTTAAATAAGACTATATTTGCTGCATTTGAAAGTCTTTTCTAGTGTGTGAGCTTAAATGATATGATTTATAAAGACATACCGGTATCAGCTGACACAACTCTCATAAGACAGAATTAGTTGAGAGAAACTCAAAATCCTTTCCTGGAACTTCATATGCTGTGTTAAACCCAAGAGTGAATAATAATGCTACCACTAATAAAAACTATGTGTTTTATAGAGAGGTAGCACAGTAAAGTGGTTAAGAACAGGGATTCTAGAGCTGTATGTGTAAAGGCTCAACTCCAGTATCTGGTACTTACTAGCCATGTGAACTTGGACACTTACCTAAATTATGCATGTCTTATGTATCTCACCAGGGAAATAAAGACAGTAACATAATGTATATACTTTTTAGAATGGTTATGAGGATGATATGTGTTGATATTTTAAAATTACTTAGAAAAAGAAGTATTTGATGATTAATTCTATTTTATGATAAGTTGATACACATGGTATTCTTTCACAGACAAATTAGGAAAACATAGTTGTTTTTTTTTAAAACATAGTTTTTATGGAACAGATATTTGTTTCTATAACTTCTATCTTGGAAGGAGGAGTGACATCTACTTCCGTAATAGCTTGCCTCTGGAAACCCTATGAATCTGGAGAGAGGATGAAAGATATACAAACATTTGAGGACTCTCCTTCACAGGGTCACTATGAGTCACCTGCAACTCGACTGCACTTAACAACAACAACAACATAACTTCGATACCTTTGTAGCTAAAACTGGCAACAGCAACAAATGCAGTTTAGATTCACACTCTAAGAAGCCACATTAATGCAAGAAAAAGCTGTCATAAACAAATCAAATTAAGAATCCAGGCTTTGTACAATTTATCAGCTGATAAAGGAGTTCTCCTTTGACTGATAGACTATTTATAAATTTAGCTTTTTCAAAGTACTTCTGGACATGCATTTGAATTACATCAATATTTAATTTTGATAATACACTTCCTTCATAGACTTAAAATACTCTCTGTCATGCCCTTTATTCCTCTCTATAAAAATATATACTATCTATATAAAGTAAACAAGAAGAGCATCACTAATTAAATTTCTAGGCAGAAAATATTGCTGCATTTGAAAGTCTTTTCAAGTGTATGAGCTTAAATGATATGATTTATAAAGATATACTGGTTTCAATTGACATAACTCTCACAAGATAGAATTAGTTGAGAGAAACCCAAAATAAAATATAAGTGACATACAAATTATCCAAACTCTCCCTCCAATGTGATTAGTGCTTTATCCACTTGCAAAGTAGAAGTTCTGAACCATATTTGTCCAACTGAAGTGTATTAGCTAAGGTAAGCACTAAGAAGAAAATATACTAGCCCATATGTCAGAGCCCTCTTACCAGTGGATTTTGCAGAATGAAGCCCAAATCTTTATCTATATGAAATTCTTCTTTAATTTTCCAAGAGCTTGTCATGGGAGATCCCTTATCATTTGCCATTCTTGCAGTTCACTCCTCTGGTCCTCTCAAGTTTCAGATGAGTTTCAGAGCATCTATTTATTAGAGTTGCCATGACCAATGACCAAATCACTTCCCATGTAGGCAGTTAGAAGGTACTTCCACTTTTGAAATAGTTTCATTTTCTACTTTCTTTATTTGTTATCCAATAAACACAAAACCACAAAACACCTCTGTTCAGCATATGAAGAAAGACTTCCCATATCATATCTTCCATCTCTGGGAGGATCATTTGCTTACTGCCATATGGGAGTACAGAAAGGTCCTGATAAAATAATCAAAATCTTGGAAAAAATGACCAATAAAAAGCATATGGAAATGTTTAGAAGTTTACATGAGAATCATAAACTAGTCCATGGATAAGTTACCAAGCTATCAGCTCTTTATTCTCATCAATGGCCTTTTTTGAAGCTTTAAGAGTCCTTTGAAAATATCAGTGCCTTTTTTCAGCAGTCGTGAAACTTAATTTTTGGCAGAAGAAACTCTCCCATGGCTTTAAAGTAGAAAAAAAAAAAGGAAAGAACATAAGGAGAATGCAGTAAAATAGTACTTCTTCACTTTTTTATTATCCTCTTTTCTTTGTATTCCTAATAAGTGGGTGTAGAAGGATTTTTTTTTTAAATCTGTACTATATCTCACAGCCAGAGACTGAAGAAACAATATTACTGTACCTTTAGAGACTATAATTTTCTAGGTTTTTTTCAAAAGTTAGGGAGTAAAGGAAAAGTAACTCTGAAAAAGTTTCTCTCAAAATGCAAATATAAGACTGCTTTCTCAGTTTTAGGAATAAGCAGGTCTATGCCACTCAGATGCATTCTTCTACTTTACTCATAATTTTGAAACAATATCAGATTCTAGGTCTTCCCTTTGATGATCACAGGATAGAATTAGAAGTGAATGTTCAGTACACTGGAATACAGAGTCATTCAACCAGCTTATTAGGACTCAAAATGATATTTTAATAGCTCTTGGGTTTGGCTACAGTCTAGAAAATTCTTACACTATCTATGCCTATTATATTAGGTCTATTTTTTATTCCTCATTGTTTTAAAGTACATCATGTCCAAGAATATTTTCTCTGCAGGAAGAAGATAGAGAAAACTGAAACCAAAATTATACAAGAAAACTAACACAATGATCAAATTTCTCTAATAAAACTTCTCAAATCATCCAAAGAATGATTCATGAAACATGTTTTTTAAACCAGGCTGAAGGGGGAAACACAGAATGTTATTAAGGCCTATTGTATCTGTACAAAAACCAAAAAGTACTGGCCAAACGCTGAGAATTGTAAGATGTATGCTTATTTGTATGATATTTCAATCTTTGTACCTAAATTTTCAGATGGGTAAGTTCAAACCAAGGCTAGTGGTGAACTGTTAAGAGAGTTTGTCTTGAAAAATAGTTTCCCAGGATCACTTTTTGTTCCCCCCAAACATAGCTGGATAAAACTTTCCTTTGGCTTTGCTTATCTAGCTAATTTACTAAATTTATCCTACCAATGATTTCAAACACCATTATGCTTTATTGCTCAAATTTCATCTCTTTTACAGCTTCTTCAAACATCTGTCCCATTCATATTTCTAAAGTAACTTTCTACATTGATGCTTAGTCTTCATTCATTTCAATTTTTTTGTTAGTAGTATTAGCCACTTTTCCTTTAAAAGCCCTTTCCCCATAGCCTTAGAAAAGCATCTGACTTTTGCTATCCCTGGAAACTCTTTGTCTCCTTATTTTTTTCCTCTGTGCCTAGGTCATTATGACAAGTGTGTGAGGGTCAGAACTCAGCATTTTACTTTATTTATCCTAAAATTGGCCAGTCCTTGGAGAAGGACATTATGCTTGGAATGGTGGAGAGACAGAGTGAGAGGAGAAGACTCTGGATGAGATGCACTGGCACAGTAACTGGGGTGAGAAGGGTAGATGTGTCACAGTCGGTGAGACTAGCTGAGAACAGGGCGGGTTCAGAGCTATTGTGCATAGGGTCACTATGAGTCACAGGCATGGCGCATAACAACAATGAGTAAATTTCTCTTCCTTATACATATCGCCTATTTGTATTCTTTGGACAACCTTTTCTCTATGATCATTGTATAGCCTGACTTATATTCATACTTGTAGACAACATTTCTCATTGCTGGTGAACATATCTTTCTCTGCATATCTTTTTTCCATTGGAGGCATCATTGGCTTTTCAGACTATTCTGAGACAGTCTGCAGAGAACTTTTATCCTAAATCATGATAAAGACAAGTATCTTTCATTATATTATTATTTCCTATACAATCTATCCAACTTCTTTTCCACTGTTAAAGTTTGCTTATTTATAAAAGCAGTTACATTGAAAAAATATAACTCTCAGTTAAAAATTCAAATGGCATATAGCATACAAAGAATGAAAGAAATGATGGAAATATTAATGATGCCCTTCCATATTTTATTGATCTTATTTTGAACCAATTCTATGAAAATGAACAAGTAGATAACATCTCTTGAGTACGAAGTGTGTGTCAAAAAAATTTTAAAAACTTGGCTTGTGGTGACTAATTCATATTATATAATTGTCTTATGAGGAAAATATGATATCCAGAAATGAAATTAAGATGATCCAGGGTGATAATAAATAGGTAATATTATCCACTTAATAACCTGCTCAAAGCAAAACTAAATATTTACTTTGAGTAAAAATGAAATTGTAAGTCGAAATATTTCTTAAATTAATCTATATTTATTTTATCCCTTTATTATTTTGTTAACAGATAAATAACAGAATAATTGGCTTCAATCTATTTCATTTGTATTGGCAGGGGGTGGGGGAAGAATGGTTAATTAGGTCCTGGAAGCTGCTTCTTTGAACTCGCAATTTGATATGATAAATTCAATGGAGATTTGAAGTACTGAGACTCTGAGATGGCAGCACAACTCCCACCTCACTAGAGAATTGTTGTTGTTGTTATGTGCCCTTGAGTCGTTTGTGACACATAGCGACCCTATGTACAATAGCCCTAAATCCTGCTCTATCCTGTGCCAGTCTCATTGCCTCTTACACACCCATCCCGATTACCCCAGTCACTAAATCAATCCACCTCATAGAGGGGTCTTCCCTCCTGCGCTGTCCCTCTACTCTACCCAGCATGATGTCCCTCTCTAAAGACCTGTCTCTCCTTACAATATGTCCAAAGTATGTCAGACGAAGCCCCAGAATCCTTGCCTCCAAGGAGCAGCCTGATTTAACCCTCTCTAGGATGAATCTGTTTGTTTTCCTA